GACAAATTTTGGTTTTACTGTCTTTATTTTACTCCTTGAGTTGTTTATGACTCTTTTTCTATTCAAATTGATGTGTCTGACGATTAAAAATCAATCTTATTCATTTATTATTAAATTTAAAGGTTTTTATTGTTTATTGAATAATAAAAAACTAAAAAAAGGTGATTTTCACAAAAGTGTATTTTCTTATTATTTTTTTAGTTTTATATTTTACTCTTTTTTGACAAACTCGAATTATTTTATTTTTCACTGAATTACAAAAAAGATAAAAAAAATAATTATGAGATCACAGTGTTTTTTTGTTTGATGTAATCGCTTTTCTGAATATTCAATTAATGACTTATCCCTTGTTTTTCAATTATAAATATTCAAATTGAAAAGTTATATAAATCATTTTTACATTCTGAAACTCCTTTTAGTAAAGATTATTATTGTGTTTAGTTTAATATACTATACTATTTTTTGATATAAAAACAAAAACTTTTTCAACATGAAAAGAGAATAATCAGAGGAATCTTCAAATCTCCCTCGTTGAGAAAAGTGAACCTTTTTTCAATAAAAATACGATTTTAGGTTATAATTAACTACTAATTTATAATTATTTAAATTATTCTTTACTATTAATTTTGTTTCCTGGTATTTCCCATGGTTGTTAAAAGTTTAAAGCGTTTTTGCATTTATTCTCTCTAAAATACACTCAAAATGAATAAGATTATATTAAGTATACATTTTTTGGAAATTCCTGGTACTGGAAGGGTTAATTACTTGTTGTTTTTGTTATGATAAATTATATTTGAATAAAAATAATTTCATTAATTTTATTTTAAATTCAATTATGATTTATTGCTGTGTTTTTGTAACATGTTGTCTTTCAAACAATTGGTAATTTATTGGGATCAATTTCCCTCTATTTTAAGTTCAATTCATCTGTTATAACATATTACAAACATCTAAAGTCTGTCTAAAAATGTTGTCAATTTGACAAAATTTTACACAAAATAAGTTGAAAAAATTGGGAATTAGGAAAAAAAGTTGAAATCAAAGTAAAAATTATAAAACAATGTTTTGAAAGTGTTTTGAATTGTTTCCCGAAATATTCCAGTTTTGATCGTCCAAAAATACCCAGACAAAGTTGGAGAGCGGACAACGTTTTCAGACTGACTATATTATTATAATATTTCAGTGTATATTACTGATTGTTTTGTTAATTTTTCAGGATAATAATAATAAAAAACATTGTGTGTAAAATGACGTGGCACAATTATGTTATTTCACTTATGGCAGCTTTTCTTACCATTATTTAAGACAATGTTATTTTATAATGTTTTTGTATTATTTCTTTTTTTTCAAATGATTTATTATTAATTGCAATCAATTCATTACTTTTATTTATAGTTACATTTATTTGTTATAACATATTACAAACATCCATAAATATTATTTCAGTGTTATTGCCGATTGTTTTGTAATAATTAAAATTTATATAATATTTTTCATATAACCTGTCATAATCTGAAAAACAGAATATACAATTTAATTGTAAATGCAAAGTAAAACATCATCCTTGTACGTTTTATTTATATGTTATATAACATCAATGATCGCTTCTGTTAGAGCTTCATGTCCTTCTAATTTGGTACAACAGTCTTTCATTCAATCAGTAAGTTGTACTTTAAATGAAACATTAACAATAACAAGTTCTATACAAGCACCGACAGTATACATGTTAAATAATGTTTCAACACTAAAAATAACAGGTGGGTTAATATGTCAAAATGCTTCAATTATAAATGTCACACAAAGATCAACACTTTGTACAACAACAGATATTACTTTAAAAGATCAATCACATTTCAATTTGTATGATAATTCGATTTTAGACACACGAAATATTATACTATTTAATGAATCACAATTTATCATTTCAGATATATCTGTTATTAAATCAATTTATAGTATTGATTTATACAACAACTCAATATTCATTTTTAAAACTCTCGGATTTACAAACGGTTTTTTTTGATATATACACTGTTGACAACGCAATTTTTAAAATGGAACATGGTTTCAAAATAAATAGTTTAGGAGATGTAATATCGAGAGGAAATGGGATTGTTTTTCTTGACTCAATAATACGTGCCCATTCTTTTCGTTTTAGTGAAAATTCTACACTACATTTAAACCCAAATGCTTTCATTGAAAGAATGATGTTTTTTTATTTCAGAGACAATGCAACTTTTGAAATGGGTAACAATTCAAGCATAATACGTGCCGATTTTTTTCGTTTTAATGGGAATTCCACACTGCATTTAAACTCAAATGCTACAATTGAAAATATAGATTTTTTTGATTTTAGAGACAACACGACTTTTGAAATGGACAATTATTCAAGTTTAAAATTTGCTGATTTTTTTGATTTCAATGGGAACTCTACACTGTTGTTACATGAGCATTCTCTTGTCAATTCAATTTACGACATAAGTTTTGGTGGAAATAGCACTTTCATGATGTTTTCAAAATCGAGTATCAATTCAACAATGGATATTTATATTAATGGTAATTCAACTTTCACAATGAATTCCAGTGAAATCACTTCAATTAAAAACAGGTTTTATTTGAGTAACAATGCCAATTTTTTGATGTACAACGATGCTGTCATCAAAAACGTTACACAAATTGAAATCAACAATGGAAAGCACATATTTGAAACGAATGACAATTCTTTTGTGAATGCCTCCAATTTTAAAATTACAAATGGCACCTTTGTGTTAAATGGAAATGATGATAGAAATAGTGTTAACAGTACAAACTTATCTTGTATCAACAATGGCACGATATTTGTGACAAATACTTCACATGTTAACATTTTGAATACTACAATATTCAATTTTTGTAACATAAAAGTAATTAAAAGGACAATCAGGGATTTACCCATCTTTTTTACTTATCAAATAAACACAACAATTTTCAGTTTTCAAAATTCATATGAAGTCGATTTGGCTTGTTCTATAATGCCAATTCGAACAACGCTTCCACAAGGAACTAAACTTCTTATAGATGGTCGCTTATTAAGACTGGGTTCTTCAAACAAGGTGTTTTGCCATTTGATGAATGAAAATGGGTTTTATAGTGAGCCATACTGTCCTTGTAGTTCTGTCAATTGTTATATCACTCCATTTAAAAACATCACTTTTTTCAATTTATATATTGATACATTACCAATAAACTCACAACATAAAACCAATGAACTTGAGGAAGTACTTGACATTGAAAGTGTTTCAATCGAAAACAAAAAAGTTTCATTTTATAAAACAGACAACTTTGTTTTATGTGTAAATTCACAATCATTAAAATTAATTACAAATATTTCGTCTTTAACAAAAACTGTTCTTCTCGTTTCAACTCAATATTTTGTATTTAAAAAGGTAGTTTCACAGGCAATATACACAACAAATAATCATACCGAATATTTAATAAATCCAGAATGTGAGGATGGATTGCATTTTAACACTATAACACAAGAATGTGAAAAATGTACAGATTTAAATTGTCTTGATTGTTTTTACAACACAAATGAATGTTTAAGATGCCAACATAATTACAATATTGATAGAAATGGAAGATGTGCAATAATACCAAATTGTTCGTTAAAACGATCAAATAGATGTTTTAAATGTTCTAAAGGGTATTTATTAGTTGCAGGTAGCTGTCAAAAGTCTACAAACTGTTTGATTCAAACTTTTGATGAAAAATGCCAAATTTGTGATTTAAACACTTTCAACATTAACAATACACAATGTGTACATGCAGATGATAATACAAAATACACAAATCAAAATAATATAATAACTTGTGAAAGTGGTTATGTTACGAATTCCACAAATTGTCAAAAATGTTCAGAAATGTATAATTCAAGTCTTGTTTGTGAAAATGGTCATCCCACAAAATGTGAAATAACAACTGAAATGAATTCAAATAAAAGTTGTGAAAATAAAAATTGTTCAATACCAAACGATCAAAACGGAAGGTGTTCGTCCCCAATTGCAAAATGCAATTTTATTACAAATTCGGTGTGTTTAGAATGTAATGATAATTTGATTCCAAACAAAATGGAATGTCGCACAAACGACGATTTGTTATGCACAAACCAGAGTTCGGTTTCGTGTTTGAGATGTGAAGACTTTTATTTCTACAGTTCATCAACAAACAAATGTGAAAAATGTGATCTAAATTGTATGACTTGTGTCATTAATTCCACTCACTGCATTACATGTCCATTGGGATATTATCTCTCAAATAATACATGCAATACAAATGCCAAATTGATTGGAATTTGCACACAACTATTATCATCTGGTGGTTGTGTTAAATGCATTGAAGGGTATTACAGAAATGGGTTGGATTGTAATAAATGTGATATTTCATGTGCATCATGTAACACAAATTTAAGGTGCTTGACTTGTAATATAACGAATTACAAAACATCGAGTGGAGATTGTAAATCACAAAGTAGTTTAATAGGATGCGATGTGAATGTTACACAATATGGGTGCACCCGATGTAAAGATGGGTATTTCCAAGTCAACACAAATGAATGTGATAAATGTGACATGACGTGTTTAACGTGTTCTTCATATGGAATTTGTGAATCGTGCATATCATCGGAAGTTTTGCTTTCAAACGGAAAATGTGTTAATCTTTCTCAAATATTAGAATGCAATGAAATATCAAACTCAAAATGTATTAAATGTTCGTTCTGGAATGAACCAAGTTTGGATGGGACTTATTGTGAAAAACATACTGTGTGGTGGGTCATACTTGTTATTGTTCTATTTATTATTA